GAGGGCGCGCAGCCGGGACGGCGGGCCGGCCGGGGAGGAGCCCGGCTCCTCGGGCCCCGGTCTGCTTGCGCCCTGGGGCGTCGGTGAGGCCAGCCCGCGAGTCCCTGCTTTCCAGCGGGTAGGGCACCGACTCCCCCACCGCCCTGATTTTGCAAATGTTGTGGTTTAACCGGGATATAAAAATAGAGAAGCCAGTGCGTCCGAGCTGATTAATAAACCACAGATTTGTAGCCTCAATAATCTCTAAAGCTAATGGTAGTGGTAGGGTTAGATTTTACTGTCCTGATGCAGGGACATCCCTCCCATCGATATTCCCCCATCCTAAAATCAGATCGTGTTTGATCTATATCAGGAAACTTAAAACGTACTTCACTTTTTAAAAATACTTACTCCAGATATTCTAAGCTTCTGTAGAGCTGAGATTGACCTTTTCACTTCCGTGCCTCTATATCTGACATGGTTTTGAACACACGGTACGCATTTGACAAATGCTTCTTGATTATTCCTGGGTAGACTCATTTGTTCAGGAGCAAAAACCTTTCTATCCTAATACCGGGCTCACGACAGCTTCCATAGTAAGTTCCTCAGTGTTCGTTGAAGAAATTCAGTGACTACCAAAATTGATCAAATGGCAAATATCCAATAATAGTCTTATTTAAGTCAAATGTCAAATACTGTTTAATATGCATTTTAAAAAATGGTTTACTACCTTAAATGAATCAACAGTGCCATAGATAGGTCATTAAAAATATATTTAATGTCGGCATTATTAAATTCTAGCTAGATACTGTTACCCTTGGAGTCTGAGGCTTATAACGTTATTAAAGAGGGAGTTCTGCAAGTTTTACATACACCTTAAAGACAGATTTTTCTCCTCGATGAGTGAGAGTTGAATGAGAATTTAAAAGGAAATTTCTCAGTGTGTGACTCACATTAATACTGCATTCCTTTGCTTCTAAAATAATTTCTTACAGAATTAGTGGTCGAAATTCTACAAAATAGGAGACAGTGAAAGACATGAATGATTTTTAGTTTGTCACTTGATTATTATTTACTTACAGTCTCAAACTTGCTCCCTTTCAATATGTTCCTAGGATCACCAATGTTTATTGTAAGTTCTTCGAGTGTTTTTTCACTGCTATCAGTTAACAGTGCTCTTTTTTCCTTCAGAAAGAAGAGATTACTGAAAGAATTTCTGAAGTAGAGTACCCCGTTGAAGTGAGCTTTTTGATCATCTGTTTCAGGCCAGAATGGCTGTAGAATCCAAAGCAGTTTCAACCCTGCTACGTCACACTCCTCAGGAACAAGAACTGATACTAGTGAAAGTAGAAGAAAGCCTGTCCTGGGGTCAGAAATTAAAGCAGAAGGGGAGTACCCGATCCTGCCAAGAATTGTTTCGCCAGCAATTCAGAAAGTTTTGCTACCAGGAGACACCTGGGCCCCGAGAGGCTCTGGGCCGACTCCAGGAGCTTTGCTATCAGTGGCTCATGCCAGAGTTGCACACAAAGGAGCAGATCCTAGAACTGCTGGTACTAGAGCAGTTCCTGAGCATCCTGCCTGAGGAGCTGCAAGTCTGGGTTCAGCAACATAGTCCAAAGAGTGGCGAGGAAGCTGTGACTCTGTTGGAGGATTTGGAGAGGGAATTTGATGATCCAGGGCAGCAGGTGGGAACAGGGAGATGCAATATGTTGTGGGAAAAGGAATTTATAAACTAGAACATGTGGCATCATCCTAACAGTAGGATGAAAATTTATCTCTAGTGAACCATACCCCTGAAGTGACTACTAGAGCCATGCCCATCTCTACCCTTAAGTAGTTATTTTTCCCCTATCCCTCATCCCCAGAGGTGTCTTTGTTAACCTCTGCGATTTTTACTGAACATTTCCCTATGGATTTCCTCACCATACTAACCATATTTTACTGATTTCAGGTCCGAGCTAGTCCACAAGGACCAACAGTACCATGGAAGGATTTGACATGTCTTGGAGCATCCCAAGAATTAAACATCCAACTCCAGCCTTTAAAGGCACAGCTGAAACCTTGGGAACCTTGCCTTTCCTTGCAAAGTGGTAAGAAATAGAAACTCATCTGGAAACTATCAGTTAGGCCTCTGGCTTTGAGGATACAGTATTAATTGCATTTTACAAACATGCCGCATGTAAGCCTCACCTTTGTTATTCTAGGCCAGAGAGGCTCACTTCTGCAGTTTTGTATTCAGCTACCCTCACAAATTGCAGTCAGGCCTCCTTGTGTCAGCTTCCCTGTCATTTATTTACTTATTTCTTCATTATATACCTTACCTGGGTACTAATACACATCTGGTATGGTTATAGGCACTGGGTCTCTATCTTCGAGGAACTTTCAGGTCTAGGTAAGGGTGGTGGACAGCAAAAAGGCAATTGCAGTATAGTATAGTACATTATAGAATAAAAGTAGACACTGGGTACTATGGAGGCACATAAAGGCATCTATCCCATCCTTAGAGCTTCAAGGAATACTTCTTGAAGGAAGAGACATCTAAGCTAAGACTTGAACTATAAGTAGGAAAAGGCCAGGTAAATAGGTGGGAGGAGGAGTATCCCAAGCTAAAGGGAAAAACTGTCTCAACACTTCTGACACCGATGTATGAGGTTTTTCCTCACATTAAGCAGTTCTGACACTAACTCCCCAGAATTAGTGCACACCTCACAGGTTAAGGTTTCAGTCCCACAAGACTGGCCCCCCACTTCAGATGCCAATTGCATGTAATGCATCCCAGGTTACCCACACTTCTGATTTTTTGTGAATTGGCAGTTCCACAACCCCCTGCTCAGATTTCATAATTTGCTATAATCACTCACAGAACTCAGGGAAATACTTATTATAAAGGATACAGATGAACTAGTGGTACATAGGATAAAGTCAAGAAGCGTCCTGAGTGCAGGGGCTTCTATAGCTGTGAAGTTCGGGGTGCCATTCTCCTGGCACTTGGATGCATTCACCATCCTGGAACTTCTCTGAACCCCTTTGTTGAAAGTTTTTATGGAGGTTTCATTACATGTGGGCACAACTGATTAAGTCATTGGCCATTAGTGATTAGCTGACTCAATCTCCAGCCCTTATCCCTGAAGGTCAGAAGATGGGGCTGAAAGTTCCAACCCTCTAATCACTTGGTTGGCTGGTCATTATTAAAAACGGAGCATGTGGATAGGATTTGAGGATGATACTCAGGTTTAGTCTTAAACAGCTTGGTTAGTGGACCTATTCATATAAATGGAAAACATAAGGGAAAAAACACTTTGATGATGTGTTTAGTTTGGGACATTGTGGTGCTTGTGAAATATTCACAAGTAATATTCCCAATTAGCATTGGCTGTGAGTCTGGAGTTTAACAGAGAAAACTGAGATAGAATTGGGGATCTGATAAGCCTACAACATAAGTATGTTAGTAACTGAAGTCTAAGGTAGACAGTTTGTACAGTGGGGATACATGAGCACTCAGAACAAAATTTGAAGGAACTCTTGTTTGAGTGATTGGCCTTGAATCTAAGAAGGAACAGCCACAGAAACCAGGCTAACATAGCTATTTGTAGAAGGAACGTGCTGTCCAGTGTCAGTGCTACAGAGAGGCCAACTAAGCAAGACCCACAAAGTATCCATTAGATTAAGCAGCTATGAAGTTGGTGACCTTGATGAGAGTGTATGGGGATGGGGCAAGGGCCATGTGTAAGGCAAAAACCAGATTGCAGAATGGAGATGAGTATACACCGTCTTAAGAAGCTTTACTCTGAATGGAAATAAGGTTTCATGAGGAAGATGTATAGGCAAGGAGCCTGACTTTAAAAAATAAGAGCAACTTGAGCTCATTTAAAATGCTGATGGACAGCCCTGGCCTGTGTAGCTCAGTTGGTTAGGCGTCATTCCATGCACCCAAAGATTGCTGGTTCTATTTCTGGTCAGGGTACATTCCCGGGGTTGTGGGCTCAATCCCTGGTAGGGGCTTGCAGAAGGCAGTTGATCCACGCTTTGCTCTCACATCGATGTTTTTCTCTCTTCCCTCTCCCTTCTCTCTCTAAAAATCAATTTTAAAAAATTTTTAAATGCTGATGGACAGGAAGGAGACCATGGAGAAAAAGGTTGAAAATATTAGGAAAGGAATAGTAATAGGTAACTGATCCGTTGAAGTCTCAGAGGAGGCAAGTAAGGATAAACTGCAAAGTGTAGATGTAGGCCCCAGTATTAGAAAGGAGGAAGGACCCTGTTATGACCAGATTAATGTGGACAGTGACACCTTTTGTGGGTAGAAGCATCTGTTTTCTCTCACATAGGAAGTAAGTATTGAGAGTGACTGGAGAAATTAAAAATCTGTTTTTTGCTATTATCATTTCAGATTGTGAGAACAATGAATCAGCGACAAAGAAGGACATTTCAGGAGAAAAAGCAGGACTTCCCCAGGAACTTTCATTCGGAGGAGTCAGTGAACATGAAAACAGTTTAGAGTGGCAGCAAGGAAGTGCTTCGGGGGAGAAATTAGGAAGATCCCCTTCCCAGGGAGGCAGTTATAGTCAAGTAATCACACACAAATCTCTAGGGAAGAGATACCATCATGAGCCTCAAAGAAGCCTGATTCTAAGTACAAACTCTGTAACATATCAGAAAGTTCCTACAGAAGAGAGACCTTATAGATGTGATGTATGTGGGCACAGCTTTAAACAGCATTCTTCTCTAACCCAACATCAGAGAATCCATACCGGAGAAAAGCCCTATAAATGTAACCAGTGTGGGAAGGCCTTTAGTTTGAGATCGTATCTTATTATTCATCAGAGAATTCATAGTGGTGAGAAAGCATATGAATGTAGCGAATGTGGGAAAGCCTTCAATCAGAGCTCGGCCCTCATCAGACACCGGAAAATTCATACCGGTGAGAAAGCTTGTAAGTGTAACGAATGTGGCAAAGCGTTCAGTCAAAGCTCCTATCTCATCATCCATCAAAGAATTCATACTGGTGAGAAACCCTATGAGTGCAATGAGTGTGGGAAAACCTTTAGCCAGAGCTCAAAGCTTATTAGACACCAGCGAATTCATACAGGAGAGAGACCTTATGAATGTAATGAATGTGGGAAAGCTTTCAGGCAGAGCTCAGAGCTGATAACCCATCAGAGAATACACAGTGGAGAGAAGCCCTATGAATGTAATGAGTGTGGAAAAGCCTTCAGTTTGAGCTCAAACCTCATTAGACATCAGAGAATTCATAGTGGAGAAGAACCTTATCACTGTAATGAGTGTGGTAAAACATTCAAAAGGAGCTCAGCCCTTGTTCAGCATCAGAGAATCCACTCTGGGGATGAAGCTTATATATGTAATGAATGTGGGAAGGCTTTCAGGCACAGATCAGTCCTTATGCGCCATCAGAGAGTCCACACTATAAAGTAACTTGTGAATACAATGAATATTGTAAATACTTCAGTCAGATTTATATCTTTGCTAGCAGAAGGGTTTACTTTGAGCAAGACTCCATGAAGGTTGTAAACTAGGTCTCAAGTCAGTCTAACTTTATGCAGCATTTCCCAGCGCATAGGCATATTGTCCGTTGAAAGCTTTTCCTGGGACTAGTCAGAACAGCAGATGGAAGAATCATTGCTTCCAGCTTTTCTTACTATTAGGAATACTCAGGAAATACGAAAAATGGAACTATTACATTAAAACCTCACTTTCCATGAGAATGCCATGAAGAGGGTACAGCAATCCAGGCTCTGTCACTGCATCTGATTGCTGGTGTGCCAGGTTTGGGGGATGGTGTGGACAGTATGCAGGACATTTAGTCTCGGGGAATGCAAAAATTTTACTGATCAAGTAGGAACAGTGACAGGACAGATGGGGATAAATAGTTTCGTCAGTGATTTATTGAGCCCAGGGCAGGCCAGAAATGAGATAGAAGAATACAAATTAATTTATCCTGCAGTTACTTTTTTTGAGTGCCTGCTTTGTGCCAGGAACTAGGTATGGAAAATAAAGACAATCTCTTCAGTTTAATGGACAGGGCAAACAGGCAATTACACTGGTATGATCAGTGCTATGTCACATTAAGGAGTACCTGACCCAACCTTGGGTCAAGGAAGGCTTCTGAGAAAAATGATCTGAAGGACGAATGGGAACAATAGACAAAGGTCAGGAAGAAAGTCTGGCCCATCTGAGAAATTGAAAGTAAAAGGCCACTCTGTGGAGCATTCCTGTTGATTTCCTTTTCAAGTGGAATCAGGTCTGTAAAAGGAGTATGCATGTAGCTAGCATCCCTTAAGCAGTGCCTGTAGTAAAATCTGAACCAGTGGAAAAGCTTGTTAATACAAGTGTCCCAAAAAAATGTATACACACTTTGAATTATTAAGGCAGTGTTTATTCAAATACATTTCATTTCTAAAATATAATAGAATCTACAGATATTGTGTGTATATATTTTCTGGGCGGACACCCTGTAGAAAAAGCCTGGAGTCCTTGGACCATGGGGTGGTGAGTTTTGTCTTCGTCTGGTGTGACCCAGAAAAAGGGTTAATAAGTAGTTTCCTTGCCCTACCTGTAGGCTAGGCTAGATCTTTCATGCAGCTGGGGGTGTGAGGTCAGAAAGATACAACCTAGAAGTTAAGAATCTGTTAAGAGTTCTAAATATCCCTCTCCCAGACATAAGGACATCTTTGGTTCTTAAGACTGACAAAGCTGCTGTGGATTTCTCCCAACTCCCAAGGCTCTGGGTCAGAAGCTGCTATGGCCACCATATCATTTGTTTTGCAGACTGAACTCCCACAGTTCCTAGTGCACTCTCTTGGGCTCAGGTGCTAAAACAAGTTATTCAGTTGCTGGGTCTGTGACTTATTTTCTAGGCACCTCACACATGTTCAGTTTTGTCTTATATCAGCAGTATTCAGTCTCGTGAATTTTGTTAAAAACAATGGTAAAGGGAAATGACAACAGAAAGTAACAGTCATTGCCTATCCAGAGACTACCCTCTTCTGAGGGACCCAGCAGGAAAAGTATCCCTAGGCTGGTACTTCTCAGGGCAATGTGGAAAGGTGTATAGGCTAGTCAGCAACAGAAAAAAACCACATTATTCAAAATACCTAATAGATTGGCGTTACTAACACACCTTACCAAAAATACAAATCTGTGGGAATCTAGGATCTTGTTCATAGGAAAAGAGTTTTCATGAGGATAAATAGAGAAGTAGTGCTCCAGTTGGGGCATATACAGATGAGCATGTACTAACCAGTGGGAATGGCTGGAGGGCTAACTGCCCATGGGTAGAGAGAATGAGAAAAAAGGGATAGAATCATTTGGGAAAATGTAACAAATAGTAAGAGCTATTCAACTCTTATTTTCTTCCACAGAGAAAGACCTAAACTGAAAAGGGTAGGACAAACTAAGCGGGAATGATATGACATATATTACAAAAAGGAGATATTCTTTATTATATAGAGTTCTTACACAGAGTGATAAGAAACGTAATAGGTGCTTGTTAGGGCTTTGTATATATGTACTAGTTATTTCTCACACAGCCCATGTTTTACAGATGAGGAAATGAAGGCTTAGGATCATGGCTTACTCGATGTCATAGAGCTAAAAAGTGGTGAGTTTAGACTTTGAACCCAGGCAGTAGGAATCCAGAACCCTTCTGTGGAGTGATTCCTCTAGACTGTCTCCCCAGGAAAAAGTAGCAATAGAAAAAAAATGTTTCTTAAATAGGCAAATCACAAAAGGATAAATATCAGTGGACACTAAGTGTTCAGCCTTGCTAGAATTAAAAATGTACTATAAAAGCAAGAGTTGAGATGGCAGTTTTTTTGTCCCTCATAAAACTAACAAAAATTCAGGGAAATTGGGACTCTAATGTTGCAAGTGAGATGTGGATACTATCTCTGGCAATCAATACCAGAAGCCTTAAGAATTGCCTTTTGACTTTAAAATTCTACCTGTAAATGTATGCTTCAGAAACCATCATGAATGTATACAAAGTCTTAAAAGCTGTTAAAAATGATGTTGATATTAAATGACAAAGCATTAATATCTTAAGTAAAAATAAAAGAATTATGTACAGTATTATTCCATGTAAAATATATTTATGCATTAAAAATACTAGAAGTATATAATCTTAAAATGCTGTAATGGTTATCTCTGGGTGATAAGATTATAGGTGATTTAGTTTTTTCTTGTGCTTTCTGTGTCTTCCAAATTTTCTTGCAATAAATATCTAAAACTTCTAAAATTAGAGAAAAAAGGATTTAAAAGGGAGTGGAAGCCCAGGATAGTTCAGAAAGATTAAGAAAAGCACATACTTTCCATAGCATCTCTGTCCCTTCCAAGTCCTGGGAGATTAACTAGTTAACTCTGATCTGTGACTTCCTCATTGATAAATGACAATGACAGACATACCCATCTCACACTAATGTATACAGAATGTCTTCTGCAAATTATTAGCCTGCAAATATGAACTATTTGCATGAAGGAGATTTTTTTAAAATATGTTTTTATTGATTTTTAGAGAGAGTTTAAGGGAGAAGGAGAAAGAGAAATATCCATCAGCTGCCTCTTGCACACCCCCTACTGGATGGAGCCCACAACCCCAGTATGTGCCCTGACCGGAATCAGCCAGCAACCTCTGGTACACAGGATGACACCCAACCAAGTCACAGCAGCCAGGGCATAAAGGAGATTTATAGTTGAGAAAAGGAATAGCCTTGAAGTGGAGACCTTTGTTCTTGCTAGTTTTTTTCCATTAATTCTGCAGCTGTAAGCAAGTCACCTGACAATTCTAGACCCTCAGTTTAATGGAACTGAAGTAGGTGATCTCTTAAAGTTTCAAATTGCTACGTGTTTATGAAACAGAGGGCACCGATATAAGCTAGATGTCAAAGGTAATTATTTTTTCCTTCATAAGCTTTGCTGGAGTAAAAGTAATTCATGCCTTTCCCTTTTGTTTAGGGCCTTGTTTCTCTTGGTATAGAGGCAGTCCAGGGGGGGAGCAATGTTGACCTTAAATAGATCTTGCACAACAGATTCACAGATTTTAAAAGATAATGTGCAGTTTAGACAAAATACTTAATATTAGTTTCCTACCTCTTCTCCCTTCTCATCTTCCATCTCCCTTCAATTAATACTGTCCAGCTGACTGGAAATTTAAGCAAATCTGACCTTGGTCTCTCCAAGCTCCCCTGTGAATTCCTTTGCTTCTCTTGCCCCATAAAGTGAATCCTCAGACCAAGGGGGGTTGTCAGGTATAATAATTTTCCATGCAGAAGGACTGTCCTGGAAAACATTTCTGCAAAATCAGGAGGAAAGGTGAGCCCTGTGGGCAGACCCCATTTATACCCACCCACCTCTTGCTTTTTGATGGGCCAGCACCAGATACTGCTACTCAAACTTTGTCTTTGGCAGCTGTCTTGTCGTCTGACACATGATCACAGATCTAAAGGGTCATGGGATTTTTTTCTGCACAAGTGTTTCTACTGAGAACCGCTGAGAGAGGAGAGGAAGGCATGGCAGTTGCCCACGCTCTTATTCTCAAACGTGGAGAAGTGTCCTGATTCTGGTGGGCACAAATGTGTGTGTGTTTCAAAAGGCTAGTTGTTCTCATTCCCATGGTCTTTCAACCACAGTGCAGGCCCAGGTGTTCCCTCAATTTTGTGACTTCACCTGGTGAACTGCTGCCCCAGGGACTAGCTGCCAGTTTCCAGACACTTTTTGGCCCAGGGAATAAAAGCATAATACCAATCCCCTGACTTCTTCCCACAACTCCTTTCCCCATTCTCCTAGCACATCTCCACTTATTGTGCTCCCTGCTCCTGAATGAATAATTTCAAAGCAAAACTTAAAACTCAGATTTTACAGCAATACACCTTGCATTACATTCTAATACTAAAAAGAAGTGTAAATGTTAAAATTGGTTACTAAAAATGATTTACCAAACAAGATTTTTACCAAAGAATATTAGAGTTGGGATAAAAAAAAACTAATAGAAAGTACTTCAAAATATTAACAATGTTCCTGTGGGTAGTGGGATTGTAGGTGATTTATACTTTCTCATTTTCTGTATTATCAACACTTACAATTAATTCACAATCAGGAAAAAACTATTAAGTGATATTAAAAACATGAAATCATACGATTGTCATCTGTAAGAAAAAGCAACTCTATCCATTTGAAGTCTTTGGACTTCTGATTTATCTCACTCAATGATAATCCCACAACCTTTGGACACAAGACTCCCTACCAAGTTCACCAACCCTCTTACAACAGCTTTGATCACTAAGTCTTCTGAAGTGACAGTACCTGGAAGAGAAATCGGAACATCTTAGAAAAGGAATCAAACTTTCTCTTAGGTATCAATTGCCTTCAACAATTAATTAAACTAGCAGAGTTGAGTTTTGAGGAATCTGAGGGGGTAATTAAATATTCATTGGCCTCAAGTAGCTTAGCACCCAGAAGCTTGGTGATGAGGGGAGGGAACAAGGAATGAATAGTGGGGCATGGGAATGCATACCTCATTCCTGTGTTCCTATCAGCTTCCCATTTCCTGGGTTCCAGTGTCATAGGACACAGTCCAGTCCCAACTGTCCCTCTACCCTCCAGTGTGTTCTTTCCTTAGTGCACATACATGCCTTTTTCCATACAACACACCAGTCTTCTGTCACACTAATTCTTCTGAGTACTTCAAGATCTCTTAGTTCACTCTGGGTCTGGGATAGGCTACCAACTCAGTGATCATGAATAGGAAGGGAGAAACCAACACATGTCCTGGCTTCTGAACCAGGGTGTATAATACCAATTCCTGCCAGAGAGAAGAGTCCTGATGAAGGGACATCTTCAGATTCTCTCCATGCCATTATACATGCTATAACCTCTGCCTGTAATACTCTCTTCCTTCTTGCCTTGATCTGGCTAACTTCTACCCACATTTTACATCTCAACTCAGATTTCATCACATCCAAGAAGCCTTTAGTGACTCATAGACCAGGTTAGGAACTCCTGCCATGTATTTCAACAGAATCCTGGATTTATCCTACCAAAGATATATCCCATTAGCCCTTAACTCTGGGAGGGCAATGGCCATGTCTTCCCCTATGGCTGACACATAGCAAGTGCTCAATAAATAAGTAGACCTCAATTGACCTCAGCAGGAAGCTCAGGGCTGAGGACAGAACTGGCAAGGGGGGCAGAATGAGCTATAATTCCCCAGATACTACTAAAATCCAGGGTATAACTCAACATTTCAGATAACCAAATAACTCAGCACATGACCCCAACTACCAAATGTACCAATGCTCTTGTTAGGCAGGGATACTTGCCATTGGAGGCATCACCTCTTAGTCCATCTTATACGGAGCTCTTTCAGGTTCTCTGCCCCAATCCTGGACTTACTGTGAAGGTGCCCATTCAACACTTAAACATTTTTGTGTGGAGCTACTCTTAAAGTATTGAACTAGGCTGGAAGGACAGGAACTGTGCTCTCGGGAAACTTCTATCTTCTGTAGAATCTCATCCCAAAGTGAATTCCTTGTACACTGGTACCTTGGTTTTCTAATGTAATCCGTTCCGGAAGACTGTTCAAGTTCTGACAACTAGACCTTAGCGTCTTGTACTCAGCAGAAGCTGTGTGGCATGTTTGGCTTCTGAGGTGTGTTCAAAAACCGAAGCATGTACTTTCAGGTTTACGGAGTTCATAAACCGAAACGTTCATCAATGGAGACATTCAAAAACCGAGGTACCACTATATTTAACAATTGTACAGCTCGTACCCACAGTTAAACTTTGGTGTGAGTTCTCTGATGCTGCATAAGGCCTGACCTATGCCTAAATGTTTTCCTACATTCACTACATGGATTCTCTGGTGCTGAGGGCTGAGCTCCGATTGAAGGATTTTCCATATTCATTACATTCATAAGGTTTCTGTCCAATGAATTCTTTGATGTTCAATAAGGCTTATTTGATGTTCAATAAGGCTTTTGATGTCCAAAAGCCTTACCACATTCAATACATTCATAGCCTTTGTCTCCAGCGTGAATTTTCTTTTGCTGAATAAGGTCTGAGCTTCAGCTGAAAGCTTTCCCACATTCACTACATTCATAAGGTTTCTCTCCAGTGTGAATTCTCTGATGCCTGATGAGCTCTGAGCTGCCCCTAAAAGCTTTTCCACATTCACAACATTCATAGGGTTTTTTCTACTATGAATTATCTGATGTCTAACAAGGTGTAAGCTCAAACTAAAGGCTTTGCCACATTCTTTACATACATAAGTTCTCTCTCCAGTATGAATTCTCTAATGTCTAATCATCTTTGAGCTCTGGCAAAAAGTTTTCCAACAGTCAAAGCACTCATAGAGCTTTCCCCCAGTGTGAAATCTCTGTTGTGTTATAACATCTGAGTTCAGACTGAGACTTCCTTCACTTTCATCACATTCAAGGACATTCTCTTCTGTGGAGATTTTCTTGTTGAATGTTGCCAGACTAAATGTCTTTCCTGGGAAGAGAGCTGATTCATTTTGTTCCTTGCATCATTTCCTTTTGGCTTCTTAAAGTTGTCCAGACCTCCCAAAGCTTCTTCAATTATCTGTCCTGAAGGGGTTTTCCCAGGGAATCTTCCTGGGGATATCACAGCTGCTGATGCTACACATTCAATAATTTCTTGCTTTGCTGTCAATACTTTGCCAGCCAGCAGTATGCCACCTAAAAATGTGAATAGAAAATGCAAATGTCATTTGCTCCCCATGTCAGGAGAAAGAAATCTATTATATCAGGAACAGAAAATAAACCAAATGAAATAGGTATTTACCTATTAGGAGGAAATGCTTTAAGACTAGCTTTCCAATCTAGAATTTAGAGAAGTGGCCTAGAGTAGCGAGAGGTGGCTCCCTCAGTAAGGCAGACATAGAATGAAAGTCATCACTGGAGAGGAGGGATGGCATATAGGGAGACATTAGTTAGAGGAGATGTTGATAAACAGGGGTAGCAGTGAGCCACCAGGAGTTAGGAGTCAATCCTGGGTGAGAGGAGAATATGCATTTTAAGTAATGAGGGAAAAGAAAAGGTGATAAGGAATAATTATGAAAAAGATGTCTAAGAGTCTTCAATCAGTGATAAAAGCAGGAGAGCAAAAGATACAATTAAAAAATGCTTTTGGGGTTGGAATTGGACAGAAGTAGGTGGGCAGAAACTAAAACACAGTAAGGCAATTGCGGGTTCTGGCAGGATCTAAGTTGGTCAAATAATTATAAGCAAATAGAATAAGATATGCAGAGCATGAGAAAAGGAATATTGTGGGCTCCTGGCTCATATGGGAGCCTTACATGTTCACTTTCTATGTGTAAATGGTCAAAGAAGGTGGATGGAAACAAGAAGCCAATGTGACAGCCTGGAGCCAAACCTTCAGCCCTCACACAACATGCCCCTCATTTCTAGATTTCCAGTAACTCAGAATAGGGGACTACTACAGGATGACTGAGGAGACTTGAATTATTTTGAAGTGGGAATATCTGAAAAACTGTTAACTCACATTCATCCTCCCCCAAATCCCCTAAACACATATGCCTCATAGATCAGGAAACTGAGGTTCAGCGAGGCTAATCACCTATGTAAGGCCATACAATTATTAAACAGTAGAGTCAGAATTCAAACAGAGATGCTTAACATCAAGGCCTGCACTTTTCCGTAGGCCATCTGCCTGCCCTACTGGAAGGAAGCAGGGCTGCAGTTGCACTGAAACAAAAAATAATTTAAAAATCATTTTTATTTGGCTTGGAAAACTCATGTTTTTATATAAAGAGAAATACTTCTTTTTGAGTTCACAACACTTAAAATGCAGCAATAAAGTCTCACAGTGATTACCTGACCAAAGCAGAGAGCTGACTGGCTTCTCTTTTACTCTTTCCTTGCCAGAAATTACAGATGGACAGCGTCACCTCTTAGATTTGGACAGAACACTGAAATTCACACTATCCTTGGATCTTAAACAGAATTTTAAATTAATCAAGGCTGTGCTTGTTCAAAAAGGGAAAAGTTATGAAAAGATATATTAGCATATAACAAAGACAGAAGAAGAATAAGCAGCAAATTGGTTAATGTCAGAGGACAACTTAATGAGAAAGTTTCTGAAAGTAGTAAATAGGTCAAATTATACAAAATGCAAATTATAAAGGGTATAAAGTGGCAATAAAATTGTGTAGGGACAAAATCAGAGCTGTGAAAATTAGAGCTGCAATGTAAATTATAGGAGTTAAAATACCTGTTCAAATTCTGTTAACCATATGAAGTCAAATTATGGCGCCATAGAAAAACCTTGACCTTAGATGTATAAATCGGGGTGAAATCAAGGTTTTTAATTTTTTAACTATATACTTATACAAAAATATTAGAATAAACAGTTAACTGGAATAATTCCTAGGAATGGCAAATAGAGATTAAAAGTAGAATGAGAAATGATCACTCAGCCCAGCCAGGCGTGGCTCAGCGGTTGAGCGTCGACCTAGGATCCAGGCGATCAGGGTTCGATTCCCGGTCAGGGCACATGCCGGGGTTGTGGATTTGATCCCCAGTCGGGGGCGTGCGGGGGGCGGCTGAACGATGACTCTCTCGTCATTGACGTTTCTATCTCTCTCTCCCTCTCCTTTCTCTCTGAAATCAATAAAGATATATTTAAAAAAAGAAATGATCACTCAAATATTTAGAAATACTGGTACAGAAGTAATCCAAATAACCTAATTAATATCTTCCAAGAATGAGCGCTAATTCACAATCAAGCCTAAAGTCTGGAGGCTGGAGGGTGTACGGATTACAAGAGATGCTTTGGGGGACAAATAAGCCACAGGTTTCTCTTTAGAAGAGGTCTTCTATATAACGTCCCCTCCCCCAGTCATCTTCCTACCTGCTCAACGACCTGTATGTCTAAAACACTTTTAACTAGGGACATGGCTTTTAACTGCACATTGACAAATATGCTTTTAGCCTTAATACTATGTAGATGATGCTCCACTGCCTGCCCAGATCCCTTTTACCTATATGGTGCCTTCTTTCCCCAGCTGCTATGAGTATTGGTTCCTAACTACCCACAACTGCCCCCTTTCTCTGGAGAGGTGCCCTGGCTAATGAGAGTGACCTGGCCCAGAAAGTTACTTTCATCCTCACCACCACCCCCACCTCCTGCACCTCATGAAGGGACAACGTGCCAGTGCAGTTATGCTCCAAGGGGTCCCCCAACCTCCTATGATTTAGGCCAAGGCCAGTTTTACCCAAGACCATGTCATTGCTTGATCTTTTCCCTTCTTAACCCTGCTTTTCTCTCTCCATTATAGATTTCTCCTGAAGAGCATGCCCTCAATAAATTACTGCACCCAAATCTCCACCTCAGGTTCTTCTTCCAGCAATACATACTGTTAGGCTAGTGAAGAACCTATGGGAAAAATTACATAAAGAGCACAGGCAGTTAGAAATGTGAACTAAGCAAGATTTGATACATCTGAAAGTCAGACTGAAGATGGGGAGGGGGATGACATTGCCAAGGGAGACCCTGTGGGAAATAAACAGAATTGTGAAATACTGATGTTTGGGTGTGAAGAGGAAGAGCAAATAGAGGAGCTGCTCAGAGAAGGAGAGTCCAGATGGTTCAAACATAAAAGCCAAGAAAGCATTTCAGGAGAGGGAACCAGATGCAACAGAGAGCTAGAGGAGGGTGGGTGAGAACTTAGGTGAATTGGATCTAGGAGGAGGGGCAGAAGAGCCAGGGAGAGCTTTACCTGTGGAATGTCCTTGTCAGGGTTTAAGACAGTGTATGTATGGTAAGGCACCGAGAATACATAATAATTACTTTTAAGAAATGTGATAGTGCAAGAAGGAAAAACGGAGGGCACTGGTTGGATGAACTAATAGGATTAAAGATGTTTGTTTTTTAAGGATATTGGAGACCTAATTTTATTTGTAGAAAAATATAAAGTGTGAGTGGGAAGAGAAACTGATGATAGAAAAAAAGAGAGATAGCTGATGGGGAGAGAATGAGACTGGATAAGCAGGTGGAATTATCTCAGAAAATAAGATGAATCACTGCAATAAAAAATGGTGCATTTTGGCCTGTGTTATTGAATGCAGAATAGCCAAAAAGTATCAGTTAGTAATGCTGACTTTAAAAGTAAATAAGTGCAGGTACAGTTTGTTGAATTTTCACCAACTAAGCACACTCATGTTACTAAAGACTGGTCTGCAGCCCCCACTGCTCAGGCCACTGAACGGGTAGGGACAACCACTGAGTGGTCTTAAGTTGTTCTTTCACAAACTATTAAACAGCATAGAAATACGGTTAATGGAAAATAAACAGTTTCTAAAACATTAATTTATTTTTAGATGTTAAACCAACCTTGTATTACTAGGATAAATTCCATTTGATCATGGTGTATAATCCTTTTTTATGTATTAATGCATTTCATTTGCTAATCTTTTATTGAGGATCGATTTTTTTTTTTTTGTCTTTATTGTTGGAGATATATAGTTTTATTTTCCTCTGATGTCTTTGTCTGGCTTTGGTTCAGAGTAGTTACTAGCCCTCTCTATTTTATGGGAGAAATTGTGAAGGATTGGTATTATTCTTAAACTGTTTGATAAAGCTCATTAGTGAAGCCATCTGTGCCTGTGTCTTTCTTTGTTAGAAAAAATTTTATTACTAACTCAATTTCTTTACTTTTCATACATTTATTCAGTGTTTCTTTTTTTCAAGCAGTTTTAATAATTTGTATATGTCACGTAATATGTCCCTTTACTTATGTTGTGTAATGTGCTGGCATAAAGTTGTTTATATTTCCTTATACTCTTATATTTCAATAGGTTTGGTAGTGATGTCCCTTCTCTGCCTTTGGTAATCTCTCTCCGTCTCTCTCTCGCTCTTTTTTTTGGGGGGGGGGGTATTTACAAGGAGCCAATTTTTTTAAAAAACATATCTTTACTGATTTCAGAGAGAGGAAAGGAGCGGGGGAAACATCAGTGATGAGAGTCGTCATTGATCGACTGCCTCCTCCACGCCCCCGACTGGGTATCGAGCCCACAATCCGGGCATGTGCCCTCACCGGGAATCAAACCACAATTTCCTGGATCCTAGGTTGATGCTCAACCACTGAGCCACGCCGGGCCAGGCTCAAAGAGCCAATTTTTTTGGTTTTTCTCTATTGTTTTTCTCCTTTCTATTTCATTAACTACTATTCTAATCATTATTACTTTCTTCTGCTTTTTTGTTGTTGTTATGTTTGCTCTCCTTTTTCAAGTTTCTTCACGTAGAAGCTCAGGTTATCGATATGAGATTTTCTTTTCGGTATAAGCATTTTATAAGGACAGCAGTCATTGGATCAGGGCCCACCTTAATTGAGTATGACCTCATCTTAAATTGATTACATCTGCAAAGATCCTATTTCCAAATAAAGTCACATTTGCAGGTACCAGAGGTTAGGACTTAAACATATTTTTTCAGGAACACAATTCAACCTACAATAATGTGATAAATACAAACCAAAAGTTGTTTAAACTGTGACTTGATTTTCAGTTACTTAGAATTGAAGACTTTTCACACTGATGCCAATGACCTCATTGATTGAAGATAAAGGAAATGATCTGATCTGAATGCAACTTTGAAAGTCTTGGGGAAGTCTGGTGTTTCCTGATACAAGCCTGCCCATCTCTGCCTTTTATACCTCAGTGACGCTGTTTTTAAAAAAATATATCTGCACTCACTGTTTGTGAGGGCTGGACCCAAACAAGTTCCTTACAGGGAAATCAGGGTCTCATTCACACATCCTGAATATTTCATATATTTCAAGAGGGTCTTGGGCTGGAACAAGAAGCCTTCTCCCTCTACCTTAACCATCCCTTCAGCCAGCCAACATTTTCTCATACCTGTACCTTTTTTTCCCAAGCATCGTAACCCAAGTCGCATGTCTCACCTGTCTCAATTCTCCTCCTAATTCCCCCTTTATTTCCCAAGATATTCCAAGAATACAGTAATATCCTTCCCTACTCTGATGCTCTGCTGTCCCCCCAAATCCCCACTTCAGCTCCTCCTTTCCACCCTGATCCTGTAGTCATAATGAGGACTGTACTGGCATGCAAACTTTTGAGAAAGAGGCGCTGTGCCCTTTCTTGATGGCAGAATAGATGAAAACCAGCTTCCCAGAAACTCAGGAACTGCTGAGCATTACTTATTTTCACGGCAGTGGTATTCGAAGTGTGGTCCCAGAATCAGAAGCAGCAGGATCGCCTGAGAACCTGGCTCCCACCCCAGACCTACCGAGTCGGTGGGGCCCAGCACTTAGTATTTTAACAAGGTCTCCAGGGGATTCA